CGGATTCGAGCCACACCGCAGCAACGCCAAGGCCTTCAAGTCCCTGCAGCTGAGGAGGAAGGAAGGGGGAAGAGGAGAGTTCAACCCCCTAATAGGCTGACCTATGATGCGCTGGGAAAGCAGGGCAAGACAGCCCTGGCCGGAGCGGCAATGATGGTCGGAGACGACGAGGAGAGTGACTACGAGGAGTGTGCCTTCGCGTTCTTCTCTCCGGTGGAGATGCCGGGAGAACCAGCAACTCTCAAGGAGGCTTTGGAGAGTAGTGATGCTGAGGAGTGGAAGAAGGCCATGGAGAGTGAGCTGAAGAGCATCAAGGAGAATGACACGTTTGGATTGGAGGAGCTACCGGAGGGGCGTACGGCGATAATGTCCAAGTGGCTCTTAAAAATCAAGTCGGATGCCGACGGCAAGATCGAGCGCTACAAGTCTAGGTTTGTAGCCAAGGGGTACCAGCAGAAGGAGAAGGTGGACTTCAAGGAGCTGTTTGCCCATGTGGTGAAGCCGACGACGCTGCGAACCCTATTCGCGGGAGCCGCCATCAAAGGATGGGTAGTAAAACAAATGGACATCGTAACGGCATTCCTTAACGGCATCCTTGAGGAGGAGATTTTTATGGTAGCCAGAGGGGTTTGCCGATGGTAGTGGCAGAGTATGGAAGCTGAAGAAGGCCCTCTACGTGGTATACGTGGATGACATCCTCATCTTCTCACCCTCTTCTGACCTTGTGAAGGAGGTGATGCTGAAGCTGCAAGACAAGTTCAAGTGCAAGTCCCTTGGTGACGTGAACTTCTACCTTGGGCTCCACATCGAACGAGACGTGGAGAAGCGGAGCATGCGAGTGCAACAACGGAAGTACCTGGAGGCGTTGGCCGCCAACTTCGGCCAGAGTGAAGGTCATGTGGCTACACCCTTTCCCTCTGGGTTCAAGGGTGTGAAGGGGCTCGAGGAGGAGAGCGTTGGAGAAGAGGAGAGGCGCCGTTTTCACTCGTTGGTGGGCAGCCTCATGTATGCAGCGGTAAACACCCGACCGGACGTCGCGTTTGCTACCGGGCAGCTGGCTAGGGTTGTGGAATGCCCTAATGAGGAGCAGGTAGCAGCTGGAATGAGGGTGGCCAAGTATCTTTCCCAAACACCGACCGTTGGGCTGCAATACTCGGTGGCGGCACAAAGGCGCCAAAAGGGCGCGGATGGTGTTGAACCCGGGCGTTTGTTCCTCACCGCCTACTCGGATTCTTCATATGCATCGGAACCAGAGGACATGACAAGTGTGGGAGGCTTGATATGCTGTGTTGGTGGAGGCCCAACTGCTTGGGAGAGCAAGAAGCAGGTTGACCAAGCTTTGAGCTCGATGGAGTTCGAGTACATGGCACTCTTCCGTGACGTACGGGAGATTGTGTGGCAGCGGCGTTTTCTGGCTGAATTGGGGGAGGAGCAGCAAGGACCTACCCCACTCTACTGTGACAGCCAGGGTGCCATTGCTCTTGCTAAGAACTCTGTGTTGCATGGACTCACAAAGCACATGAGGGTGAAGTGGCATTGGACGAGGAGCATGGTGACCGCGGGTGAAGTTGAGTTGCGGTACGTGAAGACCACGGGGCAGCCGGCTGACATGATGACTAAGAGGCTGGTGGAGCAGCAGCATTGGAAGTGTTGCAAGCTGGCTGGGATGGCTCTGAACTGAGAGAGCAACATATCCTAAGGCCAACAATCCGAGGGTGAGTTTGTTGGTGCAACACTACGGTTTGCACTCGGCTTGTTGTCCGTGTGCGTGCATGTGTGTGCGTATGGAATGGTATGAGGGCATGGGATAATATATATTTCATGCTTATAATTGTGTGTGAATGTTGAGTCATGATGTCGAGTGTGTGTGTCAAGTCAATAGCGAGTTATCGCTAGACGCATGTTACGCGGTCGTTTGTGTCTCGCGCGCGGTTTTTATTTTGTCGTGCGCGGTTTCTATTTTGTCCTGTGTCGAACGTTCGGCGTGTCACAGGTGTGTGCAGAAGACCCATCAAGAACTCAAGGATGAGTTTGTGATGAAGAGCCCGAGCCTTGGTGTCAAGCCTCAAGTGATTTTGAAGCTCGCCAAAAGCGTGCACCTCAAGATATTGAAGATAGTTACATTACTTTGTGTAGTGTAACATTTCACTTGGTGTAGGCCCTAGTGAAGGGTAGTTTCGAGACCCTTCGTGGTTGGGGACAGTGTGGCACTGTTCCACATAACTGTACCTCGGCTCTTGGGGTTTGTAGGAGCTGGGAGTCATTCCCAACTCGTAACTCTTCCTATCTTGTGTTCTAAGACTATGTTGCTAACATAGTGCCGTTCGTTAAAACCGACGCTGTGTCGTCAGTTCTTAATGAAAGCGTGCAATCTAAATTGCCTGTTGTAGGCGACGTTAAGGCGCTTGAGATCCAAGTTGAATGAAGTCATTTGAAGTTGTGAGCAGATCGCTATGAACGTTTGAAGCCGCTGTGCAGAAATCCGACTGTGCACTCTATCTTTTGTTTTAGGCACATTGGAGCCTACTGTGACTATAACACGACGCAGGACGAGACGCAGGCTTACGACGCTCAGCAAGACCTCCAGTAGGACGAGTGTAGGGAGAAGGAGCAGGCAGGGGGGAGGCGGGCTGTAACTGTGACTGCGACAGGACAAGCTGTGGACACGCTAAGGGAGGAGCAGGACCAGTAGAAGGCGGAAGACCAAGAACCTGCTCAAGGAGCGGAACGAAGTACGGCCGCGGCCGCGCAGCGCCTCCAGAACCAGCAGGGACAGCACCAGTACCCCCAGCGGCACCTCCAACTCCAACACCGCCAACTCCAGCACCCTCGGAAGCACCAGCGCCAGCAGCACCACCAACGCCAGCACCCCCAAGCAGCTCCAGCTCCAGTAGCTCCAACTCCAGCAGGACCGCTAGCTCCAGTACCGCCAGCAGCTCCAGCACCAGGAGCACCTCCAGGCCTAGTAGCTCTAGTGCCTCCAGTACCTCCAGCAGCTCCAACAGTACCTCCAGCAGGACCAACTCCAACAGCCCCAGCAGCACCCCCAATCCCAGCAGCTCCAGTACCGCCAGTACGAGCACCTCCAGGACCAGCAGCAACAGTAGTACCTCCAGCTCCAGCAGCAAGGCTCCAGCGCCGGGCAAACCACTCGCGCAGCTCCTGCGGAGAGAGTAGCTCCCGCCTCGACGAAGAACCGCGAGAGGCCACACGAGCAGACCCAACACCCCCAGGCTCCGCACCCCCAGGCTCCGTACCCCCAGGCTAAGCAACCCCAGGCTCCGCACCCCTAGACTCAGCACCCCGAGACTCAGCACCCCCAGGCTCTGCACCCCCAGAGCCGGCACCCGCAGGCTCAACACCCCTAGCAGCACCAGAGTCAACAGCTACCTTGACAAGCTCGACTGCGTCTACCTGGGACACACCTGACGGGGCAGGACCCTGAGGGGGGAGAGGGTCTACCGGGGGAGGACCAGGCGCAAGGAAGAGCGGCGGCGGGGGGAGGGGCGCAGTGCGGTAGGGGAAGAGACGGTAGTAAGGCACCGACTCGTCAAAGGTGACGTCCTGGGAGGACAGAACACGGCGCGAGGTGGGGTGGTAAAACTACCAACCAGGCGCGTCAGGGGGGAAGCCAAGGAAGACGCAGGGAACAGCACGGCGGGACGGCTTGTCCGCAAACAAGTCGCGGACAAACGCTCGTGATCCCCAGACCCGAAACGCAGACGCATCGCCAACCTTCCCCGTCCACCGCAAGGTGGGGTAGGTCTCTGGCAAGGAGACTCGGGGCTGAAGGTTGAGCTTATGCGCTGTGTACGGAACCGGAAACGGCCACAGAAAATGGGGAGCAACCGCATGGATCATGGACGTACGAGCAACGTCCATAATTATGCCAATGCGGCGCTCAACAATCCCATTTTGTTGTGGAGAGGCCGGAAGCGTGAAGGTCTGGCGGATGCCCTGTGCACGACTGAAGGCTCCCAGACGAGCAGAGGAAAACTCCCTGCCTCTGTCAGAGTGCAGACGCAGAACAGGAAAGTCCGAGCCGAAACTCTCTCTGAGCTGGAGACGAGCTGCGCGGATCCAGTCGATCAACACCTCAGTGACGTCAGCCTTGCTGCGCAAGGGGAACACCGTGGTGTAACGCGAGTAGTCGTCAACCGCCAACAGGAAGTAACGCTCGTGACCGTGGCCACGGACGCGGGCGGGGCCCCACACGTCCATGTGAAGAGTCTGCAGGGGAGCCTCTATCGGAGGAAACTCGGAGGAGTGAGGGGCGGCGCGCTGCCGCCCCTCGAGGCAGGAAACGCAGGTAGGGGTAGGCCCCGGAGGGAGGGGAGGGAGGGACCGGGGGAGACCAGAGACAAGGACACAGGAGGCCATGCCTCGGAGACAAGGTAGGGAGGGGTGACTAAGGCGGTGGTGCCAAAGGAGAGTCTGGTGGGACAGGAGACGACACGAGCAGGGAGCAGACTCACGACCAGACCTGGACGCTGCAGCAAACACCTGACTCGACGCAGCTACCTGACCAGACTTAGCAACCGGAGGAGACTCAGTAGTCAGTGTATACAGGCTCGACCCTGGCCGACGGGTAAATGTGGCCAAGTGTCGGCCCGTCCGAGCACAAGTACAGTGGGTCACCCGCTGACTCGTAGGGGTGAACTGGTCAACCCCCTGATCCTGTAGATCAGCACCACTCACCAAGTTCGTAGAGAACGAGGGGAGGTAGAGACCTGACAGGGTGCCAGAGAGGGCTGTCGTACACAGTAAGACAGTGGAGAAGCGAGCAAGGACAGGACCCCCAGTGGGGTCCGCCAGGGAGACCGCAACCAACCGACTGAGCGGCGTAAGCGTGGTGCGGTCTCGAAAGAAGGAGCGGGAAGCACCCGAGTCAAGGGTGAAGGTGTGTAAGGCCTGAGACGACGTGGTACCTGAGAGAGCAGACTCACCAGCACCTGGGGCAGCAGACGCACTAGCACCTAGAGCAGCAGCCTCACCAGCACCTAGAGCAGCAGCCTCAATGCCTGGGTTAGGCGGAACACACAGGTAACAGTCACCCTCATCACTAGTACGCAATGCATACATGGCAGTGAGGATAGCATCATAGTCAAGAGTATAGATATCTACCCGCAGCCTAAGCAGCTCCACCCTGTCAGTGAGCTCAGCCGCGTCGTCAAACTCCGTACGCCAGGCCTCGCTCAGACGGGCGAAGCAGCGGGACTCTGCGTGACCAAACATCCCGCAAGGCTGACCAGTCCGAGCACCAGTGCGAATGACGTACGGACAGCGAGCAGTACCCCGTGACCCGTCACGCTGAGCGTACCACTCACGAAGCTGCTGGGGCGAAAGGATCGCGCACGGACGACGCTGAAGCTGCACCTGGCCACTACAAGCAGGTGCCGAACTACTTACTCCAAGACGACTCCCACTACGGCCACCCCGACAACCCCAACAAGCGTACCACTCACGAAGCTGTTGGGGGGTGAGGGACACACGCGGACGGCGCTGGAGCTGCATCTGGACACGCCACGAGCAGCAGTAGCAATAGAAAGAGCAGTAGCAGCAAGAGCAGTAGTAAAAGCGGTACGAGCAGGGCAGTGCTCACCAATGGCGAGAAGGGCAGGCGTACGACGGCGGCAACGGCGAGGCCGCTACCACTGTAGGGCGTGGGCTCCGCGGCAGCTGTAGGGGCGGCTGCTCCAGGGGCGGCTGCTCCAGGGGCGGCTGCTGCAGGGGCGGCTGCTACAGGGGCGGCTGCTGTAGGGGTGGCTGCTCCAAGGGCGGCTGCTACAGTGGCGGCTGCTCCAGGGGCGGCTGCTGCAGGGGCGGTTGCTCCAGGGGCGGCTACTGCTGGGGCGGCTGCTCCAGGGGCGGCTCCTGCAGGGGCGGCTGCTGCAGGGGCGGCTGCTGCAGGGGCGGCTGCTCCAGGGGAGGCTACGGCAGGGATGGCTGCTCCAGGGGCGGCTGCTGTAGTGGCGGCTGCTCCTGGGGCGGCTGCTTCAGGGGTGGCTGCTCCAGGGGTGGCTGCTGCAGGGGCGGTTGCTCCAGGAGCGGCTGCTGCAGTGGCGGCTGCTCCAGGGGCGGCTGCTGCAGTGGCGGATGCTCCAGGGGCGGCTGTTGCAGTGGCTGCTGCTCCAGGGGCGGCTGCTGCAGGGGTGGCATCTCCAGGGGCGGCTGGTGCAGGGGCGGCTGCTCTAGGGGCGGCTGCTCCAGGGCCAGCTACTGCAGGGGTGGCTGCTCCAAGGGCGGCTGCTCCTGGGGCGGCTGCTTCAGGGGTGGCTGCTCCAAGGGCGGCTTCTGCTGGGGAGGCTGCTCCAGGGGGAGCTGCTGCAGTGGCGGCTGCTCCAGGGGCGGCTGCTGCAGGGGCGGTTGCTCTAGGGGCGGCTGCTGCAGTGGTGGCTGCTCCAAGGGCGGCTGCTGCAGTGGCGGCTGCTCCAGGGGTGGCTGCTGCAGTGGCTGCTGCTCTAGGGGCGGCTGCTGCTGGTGTGGCTGCTCCAGGGGCGGCTGCTCCAGGGGCGGCTGCTGCAGGGGCGGCTGCTCCAGGGGCGGCTGCTGCAGGTGTGGCTGCTCCAGGGGCGGCTGCTGCAGCGGCGGCTGCTCCAGGGGCGGCTGCTTCAGGGAGGTTGCTCCAGGGGCGGCTGCTGTAGTGGCGGCTGCTCCAGGCTCGGCTGCTGCAGTGGCGGTTGTCCAGGGCGCGGGTTAGGGCAGGGCGCCGTGGCGGGCATCGGTGACGCCACGCGGGTCCCGCGGGGGCGTCGCGACGCATAGGAGCCGCGCCCCACGGGTCCCGCAGGGGCGACGCGACGGGGCCGCGAAGGGCGACGGGGCGGGGTCGCTACGGGCAGCGGGGCGGGGCCGCGAAGGGGCCGCGAAGGGAGCCGCGAGGGGGGCGCGAGGGGGCCGTGAAGGGGCTGTGAAGGGGCCGCGAAGTGCGACGGGGCGGGGTCGCTACGGGCAGCTGGGCGGGGCCGCGAAGGGGCCGCGAAGGGAGCCGCGAGGGGGCCGCGAGGGGGCCGTGAAGGGGCCGTGAAGGGAGCCGCGAGGGGGCCGCGAGGGGGCCGTGAAGGGGCCGTGAAGGGGCCGCGAGGGGGCCGCGAAGGGGCCGTGAAGGGGCCGTGAAAGGGCCGCAAAGGGGCCGTGAAGGGGCCACGAAGGTGCCACGAAGGGGCCGTGAAGGGGCCGTCAAGGGGCCGTGAAGGGGCCGTGAAGGGGCCGTGAAGGGGCCGTGAAGGGGGCGTGAAGGGGCCGCGAGGGGGCCGCGAAGCGGTCGTGAAGGGGCCGTGAAGGGGCCCTCAAGGGGCCGTGAAGGGGCCACGAAGGTGCCACGAAGGGGCCGCGAAGGGAGGTCGCGAAGGGGCCACGAGGGGCCTGAAGGGGCCGCGAAGGGCCGTGAGAGGGGCCATGAGAGGCCGTGAGAGGGGCCGCTACGGGGTCGTAGGGAAGCGCGACGGGCCACTAAGGGCAGGGAACGCGACGGGAGAGTAGGCACACGAGGCGCAACTCGGGCAGGGGCGAAGCGCGCTCCGGGTAGGAAAAAAAAAATTGATATTCGGTGGGCCCTAGGAAACGTTCCCACTAGGGAACCTGCTCTATACCATGTGAAGAATGAGGAATGAATGAACTAGCAAGCAGGTGGGTACAAGTTGGAAAACCTAGAAATGTTGTACCCCATATTGTCTACCCCACTATTGCCTACACAGACTATAACATATAAGTTTGACATAGATATCTACCCGCAGCCTAAGCAGCTCCACCCAGTCGTGGAGCTCAGCCGCGTCGCCAAACTCCGTACGCCAGGCGTCGCTCAGACGGGCGAAGCAGCGGGACTCTGCGTGACCAAACGTCCCGCAAGGCTGACCAATTCGAGCACCAGTGCGAATGACGTACGGACAGCGAGCAGTACCCCGTGACCCGCCACGCTGAGCGTACCACTGACGAAGCTGCTGGGGCGAAAGGACCGCGCACGGACGACGCTGCAGCTGCACTTGGCCACTACAAGGAGCTGCCGAACTACTCACTCCAGGACAACTCTCACTACGGCCACCCCGACAACCCCAAGTAGCGTACCACTCACGAAGCTGCTGGGGCATGAGGGACTCACGCGGACGTCGCTGGAGCTGCATCTGGCCACCGCCAGGAGCAGTAGGAGCAGTGGTAGCCGCAGTAGCAATAGCAGTAGTCGCAGCGCGGCCACCCCTATAACCCCAACGAACGTACCACTCACGAAGCTGTTGGGGGGTGAGGGACTCACGCGGATGACGCTGGAGCTGCATCTGGCCACGCCAGGAGCAGCAGTAGCAGTAGAAAGAGCAGTAGCAGCAAGAGCAACAGTAACAGCAGTACGGGCAGGGCACCAGTGGCGAGCAGGGCAGGCGTACGACGGCGGCAACGGCAAGGCCGCTACCACTGTAGGGCGAGGGCTCCGCGGCAGCTGCAGGGGCGGCTGCTCCAGGGGCGGCAGTTGTAGGGGCGGCTGCTCGAGGGGCGGCTGCTCCAGGGGCGGCTGCTGCAGAGGCGGGTGCTCCAGGGGCGGCTGCTGCAGGGGTGGCTGCTCCAGGGGCGGCTGCTGCAGTGGCGGCTGCTCCAGGGGCGGCTGCTGCAGGGGTGGCTGCTCTAGGGGCGGCTGCTGCAGGGGCGGCTGCTCCAGGGGCGGCTGCTGTAGGGGCGGCTGCTCCAGGGGCGGCTGCTGCAGTGGCGGCTGCTCCTGGGGCGGCTGCTTCAAGGGCGGCTGCTCGAAGGGCGGCTGTTGTAGGGGAGGCTGCTCCAGGGGCGGCTGCTGCAAGGGCGGCTGCTCCAGGGGCGACTGCTGCAGTGGCGGCTGCTCCAGGGGCGGCTGCTGCAGTGGCGGCTGCTCCAAAGGCGGCTGCTGCAGTGGCGGCTGCTCCAGGGGCGGCTGCTGCAGTGGCGGCTGCTCCAGGGGCGGCTGCTGCAGTGGCGGCTGCTCCAGGGGCGGCTGCTGCAGGGGCGGCTGCTCCAGGGGCGGCTGCTGCAGTGGCGGCTGCTCTAGGGGCGGCTGCTGCAGGGGTGGCTGCTCCAGGGGCGCCTGCTGTAGTGGCGGCTGCTCCAGGGGCGGCTGCTTCAGGGGCGGCTGCTCCAGGGGCGGCTGCTTCATGGGTGGCTGCTCCAGGGGCGGCTGCTGCAGGGGAGGCTGCTCCAGGGGCGGCTGCTGCAGTGACGGCTGCTCCTGGGGCGGCTGCTTTAGGGGCGGCTGCTCCAGGGGCGGCTGCTGCAGGGGAGGCTGCTCCAGGGGCGGCTGCTGCAGGGGCGGCTGCTGCAGGGGCGGCTGCTGCAGGGGCGGCTGCTCCAAGGGCGGCTGCTGCAGTGGCGGCTGCTCCAGGGGCGGCTGCTTCAGGGGTGGCTGCTCCAGCGGCGGCTGCTGCAGGGGCGGCTGCTCTAGGGGCGGCTGCTGCAGTGGCGGCTGCTCCAAGGGCGGCTGCTTCAAGGGTGGCTGCTCCAGGGGCGGCTGCTTCAGGGGCGGCTGCTCCAGGGGCGGCTGCTTCAGGGGAGGCTGCTCCAGGGGCGGCTGCTGCAGTGGCGGCTGCTCCTGTGGCGGCTGCTGAAGTGGCGGCTGCTCCAGGTTCGGGTTAGGGCAGGGCGCCGCGGCGGGCAAGGGTGACACTACGCGGGTCCCGCAGGGGCGTCGCGACGCACAGGAGCCGCGCCTCGCGGGTCCCGCAGGGGCGACGCGAAGAGGCGGGGGCGACGCGGCGGGGCCGCGCCTGGCGACGGGGCGGGGCCGCGACTGGCGACGGGGCGAGGCCGCGAAGGGGCCGCGAAGGGAGCCGTGAGGGGGCCGGGAAGGGGCCGCGAAGGGGGGCCGCGAGGGGGCCGTGAAGGGGCCGCGAGGGAGCCGTGAGGGGGGCCGCGAGGGGGCCGTGAAGGGGCCGCGAAGGGGCTGCGAAGGGGCCGTGAAGGGGCCGCGAATGGGCCGCGAAGGGGCCGTGAGGGGGCCGCGAGGGGGCCGTGAAGGGGCCGTGAAGGGGCCGTGAAGGTGCCGCGAAGGGGCCGCCGCGAAGGGGCCGTGAAGGGGCCGTGAAGGGGCCGTGAAGGTGCTGCGAAGGGGCCGTGAAGGGGCCGTGAAGGGTCCGCGAAGGGAGGTCGCGAAGGGGCCACGAGGGGCCTGAAGGGGCCGCGAAGGGCCGTGAGAGGGGCCGTGAGAGGCCGTGAGAGGGGCCGCTACGGGGCCGTAGGGGAGCGCGACGGGCCACTAAGGGCAGAGGACGCGACGGGAGGGTAGGCACACGGGGCGCGACTCGGGCAGGGGCGAAGCGCGCTCCGGGCAGGGAAAAAAAAATCGATATTCGGTGGGCCCTAGGAAACGTTCCCACTAGGGAACCTGCTCTATACCATGTGAAAGAATGAGGAATGAATGAACTAGCAAGCAGGTGGGTACAAGTAGGAAAACCTAAAAGTGTTGTACCCCATATTATCTACCCCACTACAGCCTACATAGACTATAGCATATGAGTTTGACACAAACGATTTACCATTACAATTCGTTCAAAAAGAGTTGGTGCGAAGCAAAGATTTGCGTAGAAATTGGGCAGAAATGCAAACATTGCCCTGAGTGACGTCAGAAAATGCATCATCGAGAGCCAACCATTCCGACCCCGATTTGCGTAGCCCGAAATTGCCTCTATTTCAGACCTTTTGTGCCAATTTAAATCGAATCTTGAACATTGGTGAAACTACGAAAGACATAGTTTAACCTGAGAATAGTGTACGCAACCTGGCATGTACCTGAATAGCGCGCCTCGACTAAGTTGCATGCACCTGAAAATGGCCGGAAGTTATGACGCGGGCAGCCCATCGGCCTACAAGGTCCGAGTTGGCTTTCCTGGCGTTTGGCTCGATTTTCCACCCACACTTAACATCTCCCTGGCGTTTGGACGCTATTTTGCTAGTGGAGACAAACGTGTAACTGTAAGAAAGTTCCATTCGTCCTATTTTCTAATGCCACCCGTTTGTTGTGATTTCCTTGCACAGCTCTGGCAAAGCAGAAATGGCTAGACAATCCAATGACATCTTCTGACGCGCTCTGCACATATTGGCCCTGCTCGACAGGCAGGCTCCTCCTTGGAGCGCTAGGGTTAGGCTAGGGCTAGAGGCGATTTTGAAGTAGTTTCGGCTACCCCCCCCCCCCCCCAAAAAATCGGAAGCAGCGCCGCCCGAGGTCGGAAGGTGGGGGTTGTCATGGCGATGATGCAGCCCCACCTTCCACTATCTTCATCGTGGGCAGTGTATAAATTTTGGGGGAGAGATGGCATTCGCACCAGGGTAAACCAAAGGGCGTCGTGCGGGGGGGGTGGCTGGTTTGTTTGTGGGAGGCTGAGACAATTTCAGGGCAGAGATGGGAGAGGCTAGGGCACGGGCTCTGGAGGGAAGAGTTTCGTAGAGTATGGGGTGGGTTTTCCCTCCCGTATGAAACCCTAGCCTAGCTCTTGGCCAACCTCCAATCCGGGGGTTGGAGGGCTGGGCTAGAGGTAGGCTAAAGCCTACGCGAAAGAGAAGGGGCTGGGAACTTTCGGGGGGGGGGGGGGGGGGCGAACTTGAAGGGTTAACGTCGCGTTCGACAGGCTAACCGTTAACCCTTCATGTTACGGGGCGTTAAAGCCCAGGGACACCAGATTGCGGGCTGACCGTTGAAAAAAACCCTAAATCGAAACCGCCGCGAATGTGCAGTGGAAGTGTTTGCCTGCCTGTCGAGCAGGGCCATCGACTTTACCGCGCGGCCCCATTTCATCCATCACTTCACTTCCCCCTCCCAGCTCAACACTAGATTCAAGAATCCACCCGACATTCCTCCACCGCCAGAGTGCCGAATGTGCATCAACGCATTCTCATCGCAAAACAGGGGGGAGGGGATTGTGACATGCGCGAATCTTGTTTGTTTCTTCCTCGTCTTCCAGGGGTTGGGAATCATGCGAGAATGTTGCTCGCATGATTCGTGGGAGTGTTGTTGGGGTATTGCGTGAGATGTGAAGTGGTGCGCGTGTTTCTGGGTGTTTGATGTCAACTACGCAGGCTCGGCTGGTAGGTTTGGTGGGAGCGAATTGAGGCTCGCGCAATACAGTTACCAACTGGTTGAAACAACAAGTGGTTATATTTGTAGTGCGTTTAATATATTTGTATAAGTATATTAAACGGGATAATTATATTTTGCGGATTTATAGGTTTTGAAAATGCATATCGTTCCCACACGGGCGTTTAGATTGTTTAGGGTTGTTAATTCTATATGTAATAGTTGGTTGAAAGTGTTTATTTTGCATTGTGGTAAGGATATTGTTGTTAATGTTATGAGCAGCATAAATGTGTGATCATATTTTATCGTAAATGAACATATCACAATACTGACGTATGTAACTGAACATGTTGTCAATACTGAAATCTGATCCTACCAGAACGACTTTTCTGGTTAGACAGGTGGCGATCCTATCAGGTGACAGATGTCATCGAAATTCTCGATCCTGGGTACTGATTGGGTACATCCTTTGGTCAGCAGCCGCCTAAACCAGATGTTGCCACGCGTCGAGTTTGGATGGTGGGGAGGCAGGTTCTCCTTTTTGAACTCGAGCCGTTCAGGGTGTCTCTGAAAAGGGTTGCCGACAACCGTCGTCGAATGCCGGAGAATCGCGACGGTATAAGTTTTCAAACCGAAGGTCAGGATTTACCGACACGACAGAACGGATGTCACGGGAGTGTTCGAAACAGATTTCGAACACGCCCTGAAATACCAGAGTCGATACACTTCGGAGCAGAGTCAGAGGGGTCGTGGGAACCCCTCGTCATTTTGTTGTGACTGTTCCAGCCTTCCCCGTTTTTGCTTTTCACCAAGTCCCTGCTTGCCTTCAGATGCTCCTTGTGCCTGCTCTGCACTTGGTTATTTTTAACTTGGCAAGCCCATACAGTGTCTGATGCGGGAAGGGGTAGTCGCTACGGTAAGTTAATGTAGTCGTTGTTCCTACTGCTGCTGTTTTGTTTTCCGCCATTTTCGTATCTTTTAGGGTGGTACTGATTTGATACACTCCTATTTTGAAGTTGATTTGTGCTCAACGCTAACCATGATCACAACAGTTTGTGTCTTGTCGCAGAACTCGCGATGATCCACTCAACCAGCGTAACGACGGCCATCTCTACTCCCTCTCGCAGCAGCCTGCATTCCGCCACCGCTTGATCTGATCCCTCACGCGACAACTGCGACGTAAACTCCTGACGCAGTGGTAAGCTCGAGCTCAATTGCTGGCTTAGTTTCTGGTGTTTTTATTTGTTTTTTTCTTTGTAACCTGCTGTTTCATTTTCTGGGGTTTTACTTTCTATGTATATTTGTATCAATGTCACATGTTCTCAGTGAGGCCTTGTTCTAATGCCCCATTACGTACTCTTACACCCTCTATTGCGCTTGCAGGTTCAGCTTCCAACCGCCCAACGGGGTTAGACATCGTCACCAACAACCGCCACGTAGCAGCTTCCGTAACGCCTTCAACTGCAAGCGCGCTTGTTCCGCCGGTGCCAGAGTTTTGACCACTAGTTTAGATTGGAGTGGTAGTCTCTGGCTGGTGCACAAGTGTGTGTACACTGTAAATTTATAAGGAGTTATTTAATCCAACCCCTTATTGTTATGGCGGACCAGGAAGTGCAGTACAGTTGTGACCAGGAAGGTTGTAAAGTCACCTTCAAAACCTCTCTTGAGAAGGCACGTCACCTTGCTCGTGGGCAGCACGTGTATTGCGAAGCAGCAGAGACTTCATCAAGAGCTTCTGGTGGTGGCGGAGATGAGGAGTACGCAGCCAGACTTCGTGAGGCTGGTCAAGCCTTAGAAAACCAGAGTAGAAAGAGGAGAAGGTCAGCAGCTGCAGAAGAGGCAGATTTGGCTGGCCGACCGCTGCCTCAGGCAGATAGCGCACAACCGAACGTTGATACAACCGGATATGATTTCTCCCCACGTGCTAACCCAACCGTAGTGGACATCGATTTTCGACTCTTCAGATTCTGTAAAACAGCGGCGGGTGGTGTGGGACTTTCAAGAGCAGACACAAAGGAGTTGATCGACATCGTCATTGAAGCCCTGGAAAATCCTGGCAAAGTGAACCTCAAGTCCTTAGCTGAATTCAGCAGGTATGAAGAGGCGAAGACGGCAGAGACAGATCTGACCGGATTTTTAAAGGTGGACGTGAGCAAACCTGGAGATTCAAAACCAATATACCTATATTGGAGGCCGACAATGTCATGTGTCCGTGGATTGTATCAGAATCCTGCAAATGCAGACGGCTTTGTAGTCGAGCCGGAAGAATTACCTGAAAATGCGTGGGTAATATATAAGGGGCCAGAGACTGGAACGTGGTGGCGCAGTGTACAATCCAAACTGGAGGAAGAAGAAGTAATAGCGGCTGTAATTATTTATTCTGACGAGACAACACTGACGACTGATGGTGGTGTTGTCGGATGGCCCGTCTACGTTTCATTGGCAAACATATCATCGGCGAATCGTTGGAAATCACATGGCCACCGCCTGTGTGCTCTTCTACCAGAGATTGACAAACAAACGTTTTCAAAGGCCGAGGAGACGCGACGTCGACACGAGGTGTTTC